TAATTATAAAAAGAATTGTAAAAAATGTATATATATATATATAAAAATTAAACAGTACAATATTGAAAAAAAAAATTTGGTTATAAACGAGGATGCAACGAATAATATTATATATTAAATAAATAATTTCTTAAACATTTTTATATAAAAGGTAATAGACATTTTGAAAATTTTAATTAGGAAATTTATTTGTAAAATTTTTTTAAATATATTTTATTATTATATTAATATATTTATTATATAAAATTTTGAATAAGAAATTCATTTCTAAGATTTTTTTTAAATATATTTTATTAATGTATTTATAATATATTTATTTAATATATCTTATATATAATTATATTTAAATAATTTTATAATTTTAATTACTGTATATAATAATATTTATATAATTATATTTTTTAAATATATTTTTGTATTTTCAAACAAATCAATTTCAATCGTGTTAAAAAATAAAATAATCAATATAACTTAATTATTTATAGAAAAATGTATTCTTTACTAGTTGCAAAAATAATTCTAATTTTAATAACAAATTTGTTAAAATTACGACAAATAAAATAATAATAATAAAAAAGAAACACAAGTCCAGATCTTTATCACATTTTCGTTTTATCATTTCGAAGAATTTACGATGTTTCTTTCACAGTATCTTAACAAAGTTTTATCGTATTTTCAAGAACGATAAATGTTACGTATTTTGTGATCATTAGTATATATGCAAATCATTCCAGTCTCGTATATTTTCAAATGAAGACGTTTAAATTCATCTCTTTAGCTTTTTAATGATAATCAAACCTTGTTTAATCGTACGATTAAAAAATGTTTTATGGGACTATGAAAACACTGTGCAAAATGTCTATATCCTTTTTCTTCTTTTTTTTTTCTTTTTTTGCCTTTAAATTTTATCAAATGCATGCATGCATCCTCGTTTAAACTTCTTGTCGAATCTTTCATACTTGTTTTATACTTTTCCTTTTTCTTTTTCCTTTCGTTTACTTATGTATTTTTCTTTTCATTTTACATCGCAATTTATATAAAGCATTTCCTATCTATATTTATGTATATATATGTGTGTGTGTGTGTGTGTGTGTATGTTTGTAGGTCTAAATGAAATTTACACGCATGATATACACACGTGTTACACGCATACGCATACAATATCCCACAATGTTATATATAATTAACTAGTTAACTGTGATTGACGAGTATACTCGTCATGTAGAAGTGGTACGATTCTATCTATTGACAAGTATACTCGTCATGTAAAAGTGACAAGATTTTGTCTATTGACGAATATACACGTTATACGTATAAAATAGTGACCATTGGTTATTTAAATTGTTATTTTTCTTAAAAAAAAAAAAAAAACATATTCTCAAATTTCAAGATAATTAGAATATTTTGAGACCATGTCAGAATAAAATAAACAAATAAAAAATATAAATAATTTAAGATGTAAACCAGGTTTAAATATTATTTGTATAATATTTAATTTTGATTGCGTTTTTAGTTGAATATGTAGTAATATTTAGTAATATATGTTTATGTTAATCAAATAAGTAAATATTAATAATTAAAATTGTCAATTTTATAAAATAAAGCCATCTTTTTGATCCAATATCTTATCAGCGCAATATATTCTGTGATTGACGAGTATACACGTCATGGCTCGATTCTAACGACACAAAACGGTGCGTGCTCTCAAACGAGGACGTCACAGTTAACTGGTTAAATTTATATTATTTAAATAAATAAATAATTAAATTTTGTTTTATTTTTATATTAAAAATTATTTTTGTAAGATTAATATTTATTTAAAGGGGATTAATAAAATAAATGAATTAATATCGCGTTCGCCATTATGTTTGATAATAAAACGATTTATCAATGAAATTGAGATGAAAAATAAAGATCAATCTAACGGGTATGTTTTTTCTAACAATAAACATGCATACTTGTTGTTTTTGTTGTTGTAGTTGTTATTGCACATACATAAGTTCAATACTAATCTAACAAATGGATGTGGAAAAGTGGATGGTAAAGGTAAACATGCTATGGTGTATACTAATTTTTGTATATCATGTGAAATAACCATATCAATCTACTTATATTTAAAAACATCGATCATGCGTGTTTATATTTTACGTTACAACTTGAAAGCCTTTTTGGAATAGGTTGTTGGTGCAGAGATAAAGTAAAAATGAAAAAAGAAAAAAAGAAGAAAAAAAAAGAAGAAGAAAAAAAACGAAGAAAAACATTTAAAGTATATACATTTAATAAATAAATAAAACAAATTTTTCCTCCTTACCCCCACCCCAATTTTTCCCCCCTCTTTTTTTGTTATCATAAATAATATTCAATAATTTTAAGTTATAATTTGATATAAATCAAAAGAAATATTTTCTTTATTAACTCGATCAATTCAATTATTTGTTTAATAAGATTTTTAAAAAAGTTTTTCTTTTCGTGAATGGCATGACAAATGGTTATATAAAAATAAAAAATAAAAAATAAATAAAAAAACACTTGTAAGAAATCAGAATACATTCGTTAAAAATAACAAAATAAGTTCGTACGAAGATCAACGAGGAAGAATCGACGATTCATGACACTTTTATCGCTCGTAAAATGAATATATATATATATATATAGAGAGAGAGAGAGAGAGAGAGAGAGAGAGAAAGAAAGACTTTTGTAGAAGACAAATTGTAAAAAGCAAGCAAACGAACCGAAGAACTGTATAATATAACTGTATAACACACACGAATGGCTATAAAATTTTTCTATGGAACACTTATTTTACATATAGTCAATATAAAATATAAAACGATTTCTTTACTAACGTCTATAATAAAATAATACTATTATTATCATTATTATTATTATTATTATGTTATATTAATTATTATTATTATTATTATTATTATTATTATTATTATTATTAATATTATTAATAAGAAAGTAATAATTGTCTTATGATATAAAAAAAAAAAAGAAAAAAAAAACAAAGAAAATTTTCTTTATCAATCCATGAAAATATTTAAATAATTTTTTATAGTTCATTTAATATAATTATAATAACATATATATATGTATATTATAAATTCGTCGGTGAGATGTTAATGTCGAAAATTTGGACGAAGTTACGCACGATAAACCAATCCTTCCCCTCATTTCCCATTCAATTACCATAAATATTATTTGGAGAGGGGTGGGGTTGAGATTATTTATACGACGTTAGGTACATATCTATAATTTCGTATAAACGATATCATACACATACATACATACGTGTGTATGTGTGTATATGTGTAACGAGGTGTGGTTACGGATTATTCCATGGGAATATTTTATACAATGTGAATCTCTTAGCATAATATAACTTTGAATATTTACAAGAAACGAAATATAAAAAGATTAACAATTTTATTTGATAATAAAAATTAAAGGAAATATTTGTAAATTAAAAATATATATATATATATATAGTGTTTGAAAGTAACGCGATATTTAGCATGCATATAAAACAAAAAATAAAAAAAGAAAATAAACAAAGGGAAAGGATTGAGGATAAAAGAAAAAACGGAGATTTGGTGATTGGAGGTGGATGGTGGTGGTGGTGGGTTCAAAAGAACAAATTAGTTGGTAAAATAAAAAAAAAATTATAAACAAATTTACTAAATAAATAAACGTTATTGTTGTTGTTGTGCTGAAGAAAATTGTGGGTTACAAGCATTGGCAGTAGAATACACTACGAATAGTTTGAAAATAGCACAAAAAAAAAATAAAAATAAAAAGCTAATAGAAAAATAGGAAGAAAATGTCCATTTAAAAAAGATAATTATAAATTATTATTATTATTATTATTATTATTATTATTATTAAATATCGAACGAGCGAGCTAATAGCAAAAGCACCTTTTCACCTTTTTTCTTCCTCGTCGAAGTTTTGCTAGCATAATTTCATTCAATCATTATTCTTTTTGTTTTTTGGTTTTGTTTGTTTGTTTTTTCATTTTTTTATTTTGATCAACGAGGAAAAATAAGGATAAGGGTTTAAATATTTTAATAATTTTTTTATTTGTTCTTGTCAGCAATTGGTTGTCTAACTAATCATAAATAAAGCACACAACCATAATGTGCATTGGATATTTTGCAAATCGTAATTATAACCCCCCATTGGAATAATATCTTTAATTTAGTTGCTTTTTGTTTATATAAATTTATTTATTTTTTTTTTAATTTTACTTATACAATAAGGGATTATCAAATTGATTTATTATTTTTTCAATTTGCAATTTTCATATGTAGAGATATAATACAACAAAATATATCAATCGATTAATCATTTTAGATGATATTATTATCCAATGTTGGTTAAATAGCAACATAGCTACAAAATTATAAAAACAAAAAAAAATATTTCTAACAGGTGAAAATGTGCATAGGAAAACGGACAAAGAGAGAGAAAGAGACAGAGAGAGAAAGAATAGAATATAAAAGAAAGAAAAAAAAGGTTGGGTAATATAATATGCAATAAAATAGGGTTGGTTATATGAAAAATTGAAAGAAAGTTACGAGCTATGATACGAATAAGTGTGATAAAAAAAAAAAAGAAGAAGAAGAATTAGGTATAGAAAGTGAGAGAAGATAATAGAGATAAAGATAGAGAAAGATAGAAAAGAGGAGAGAAGAAGCAAAGGTTGAATAAAAAAAAAAATAAAAAAAAAATAACCGGGCAAGTGATGTTAGTGTGAATGATTAGTAAATGTATCAAAGATGTGGTGGTCAAAGTTGTGATAGGTGGTCATGGTGATATGGTTATGGTGATATGGTGGTGATAGTGATAGTGATAGTGATAGTGGTTGATAGTGATCGGGTGATTCGTACTGTAATGGAAGTCTAGAAAGACATGAAAGTAGAAGTAGAAGTAGAAGAAAATGTAGAAATAGAAATAGACAAAATTCTAAGAGAAAAAGGGCGCTTTGTGCGAATTACCTTGAAGGACTGCGTAGATAAACCAGAAACCAGAGAGAGAGGGTCGATCCATTAACATATAAGAAGCAAAAACAGAAACAGAAAAAATAGGTATACTTGTAATTAGGTTGTTTTGCTGTAAATAATAAAAAAATATAAAAAAAAAGTATACAGGTTGATTCACCTGCTCTTGCTACCTAAATGGGGCTTCGAAAGTATGACATTACCAAAAAAGTTAATCAGAACAAAGTTGCATGAAAAATTCAGGACTAAAATATGACATTAGTAATTGTTTACTAGGTTCAGTAATTTTCGAGATTTATTGGTTAACTTTGTTTTTTTAAATACAATGTTATATTTAAATACTTATTTTCGGATAGCGGTTGACAAGACTAATCCAATGATGTGCAATATTGTGTGTCATATTATAGTCCTGAATTTTTCATGCAACTTTTTTCTTTATCAACTTTTCTGCTGCTATTATACTTTCGGAGCCATTTAAGTGGCAAGAACTGGTGAATCATCCTGTATATTCGTGATATATATACAGAAAAAAGTGTGTGTGTATATGCGTGTTAGAAAATCTGTAAAAAAAGAACTCTTCTCGCGATATGATATGATTGATTTTGTGATTTATCGCAAGATACGTTTGTTTGATGAATTTTTTGTTGTTGAAAGAATTTTGTTGATTATGCGAGAGAGAATAGGAGGATTAAGATTATGGATTGAAGACAATTTTATTTACACCTGTATGTGTATTTTCACCTTTCAATCAACGTTAACGAAATATTTTTGAAAGTTGTAATTTGTTAACAAGTGTTTTTGATCATGGTAATTCGAATCCAACGAAAAGATTGGAATAATTTTCTCAATGATAAGGGGTAGGGAAAAAAATATTCATCGTTGACAGGTGAATAATTTTTTGGGGGGTTGAAATTAAATCCATTACTCGCATTTGTATCTTATCTTTTTTTTTTGTAATTTAATGTTAATTAATAAAATTTATATTTATATTAATTAAAAATATTAATTAATATTAATATTTAATATTAAACGTGTTTTGTGTTAATAACGTTTTCAAATATAGTTAATGTAATTTTTAAATGAATTACGTTTTAATTTGGAAATAAATTTTGGAATTTTGGAATTTTTGTTGTAAAAGAATAAAAATACATAAGAAAATAAAAAAAAAAAAAAAATAAAAAGAAAAAGATACAAATGCGAATTAGAGATTTGTAAATGTTTATTTTTTGTTTTGTTTTAGTTTTCTTTTTTTTTTTGGTTTGATCGATGAATCCATTTTATGCTATCGAGAGTAGTGCTGCATTAAATAGAGTTGCTATAACAAAAAATTATAGTGATATTTTATTCTACATGTACAGTAGATACTTGGAGATAATCAAAAACCCCATAGAGAAATTTATAAATGACAATATTGGTTTTACAATAATAAATAAATAATTATAGATAAGAATATTTTCTATTGTACAATTTTGTGATCGTTTTGATTATCTCACATTGACGTAATTACCAGTGTTATGGGTTTAATTATGATTATATTTATCTTCTATGATTACTACTTACAAATATATCGTTTACTTAAGCTTTACGTTACAAAATACAAGGTTTATAAAATTTAACTTTGTTGATATATTCGATGGAAAAATAAAAGAAAAGTATGTTAGAAACAAAATGTGCTGGCGATTTCGTCAATTAACCCCTTGCACTATTTTCACGAGTCTGACTCGTGATGACAGTTTTAGATCAGACTTGAATATCACGAGTCTGATTCGCGATGAGTCACGAGTCTGACTTGTTGTTCAATTTCATGTCAAACGCAAATATCACGAGTCTGACTCGTGATGAAAGTTTTAGGCCAAACTTGAATGTTACGAGACCCTGACGAGATATTCATGTTTGGTTCAAAACAATTGATTACGAGTTAGACTCGTGATATTCGTATTTGATATGAAATTGAACAACGAGTCTGACTCGTGATATTCAAGTCTAAGCTAAAACTTTCACTTGTTTCTCAATGCAGTTTACGTGCTACTTGGAATACATTCTTGTAGTCCAGATTAACATTTGAAAACTAAAGTTGCATGCAGCCATTCGGGTGCATGGGTTAGGCACGGTTTGTTCCGAATTTCAACATAGTGCAAGGGGTTAAATATGACATGTCGATCTTTTATCATAAGTGTCGTTTAAATATTTATCTGAAGTATTAAATAAATATTATCTCTTTTTAATATTTCAGATAATATTTCGACACATATAATTTTAAGAAAGTGTATAGAAAAATTTATAATTATAAATTGATTAAAAAGGAATTGATGTAACTCATTGTTATATTTAAACAAAAACTCTAGAGTACCAATCGATAAACGACTTACACCTATTAATAACATATATATAGATATATAAATGTTGATCGATAAAAACATACACTAGAAAGGAATAAAAATATCTCGATAAAAATATATATATATAAAAAAAAACAAATATCAAGAAGGAAAAATCTCGTTGAAACTCTATTTTTTCGATAATTCAAATCGTGGTGGGGAGATGATGGCTCGTTTTCATTTCCACGATCAAAAGTATGATTTTGCGGTGCAATGATTCGTTAAATCGTCGTCATGGATATAAACGAAACGAATACAGGTAGATCAATCCCCCTTTCCTTCCATTTCAAAGAGGGGGTCAGTGGTGTCCAATAACGAAATTGCTCGATTTAACGTTCCCCTCAATATATATTGATAAATACGATATTTATTACAACCGATATCTATTTCGATTGGCATACAACTAATACGGTGAATGAATACGAATATACATCGTCATTTATTCATTCAATCGTGTCAGGATTTGTTCAAATAACACGCAAGGAAGATAAATCGATTTTTAGATCAAAAAAGAGAACAAGAAATCAATTTTTAAATGTTTAGGGATCAAAATATGATAATATGATAATATTATAACAACAAGGTTATGTTTAACCTCTTAGGCATGGTTAAATTTTGCGCGATGCTATTTCTTGTACGGCAGAGTTACATCAGGGTTACGTCAACGAGAATTACGTGTAAACGTTACAACTACAATGTGTGACGATGAACAATGCTGTTTTCTATTTGAATACATTTTAATGAAGTTTATAATAATTAAATTAGGTATAATATATTTTAAAAGATGTTATCCGCAATGCGTCACTATTGTAGCGCATCGTACTATTGTAAAAGATGACATTCGCGAAAGCCACTATAGTTGCGCTTCGTAATATAAAATGACATCCGTGAAAGTCACTGTAATGGTGACCACTAAAAAAACCACTATAATGGTAGGGACCTAATATAACAGTACATCCGTAAAAACTACGATAATTTTATGATTGATATAAAATGACATCGATGAAAGCCAATATATAGTAGGTAGCGCGTCGTTCAAAGAGATGTTCATTATCACAAAAGCCACTATACTGGCACATTGTGCATAAGAGGTTAATATAATACCTAAACTAGACGAAGGAATTATGATTTATGAYAATAATAATAGAGTGCAAATTATTTAAGCAAATAAGCGTATATAAGCTCTTATATTATCAGATAATAGGACGGAAATACGTCATTGAATTTCAATCGATTAGATCTACCCGATCGTATAACTCGAAATACTCGGAATACGGGGAATACAGAGAGAGAGTCCAGTTTCGACGTTGAAAATACATCCCTCCTAGATCACGTGGAAATCTATCGTAGAAAATGATAGAACAATGTCGAATCGCGGAATCAAACCTAACACCGAACTTCATCCCTCGTTCGTGTAATTTCATTTTCAACAGGGGAAACCAATTGGATAATGGTATGCTATTAGGTTTAGAAACTGACTCGTTTCTGACCACATATCTCTAATCAATGCCATGCACACATTCTCCAATAATAATAATGAAAATAATTAATATCATATATATTTGTTGTACTCCTTTAAAAATAAAATAAAAAATAAATTCTTACCAATAAATAATAAAAGTTATTTTAAAAATATAATAATGAACAATTTTGTTAAATATTTATCGAAACAACACTGTATAACTTTACGTTAATAAAAATCATCAATATAAAAACCTGACAGGGTTAATATAAAACATCTGATAAGGATTAAATTGAATTTATCATTAGACTTTATAAAAAATATTCAATAATATAATTATTATAGATTTGTCGTAGAACATTATCGGGAAAGTTTATATTTAACGACAAATTATCGTAAACGCACATACGTACGTACGTCAATGTATTAGCAGAGAATATTTATCATACTTGTGTTGTCACATAACGATGACAGAATGGTGCGTACGACAGGCGTCATTGGTCGTGTCAACGATAGAGCAACAAACCTCGAATATCTACAATCAAATACGACGTTGACGTTTTCATAAATTTCCTCCTATTGAACCAATATATATATACATATAGTATGCCATTTTTATTGTTTTAAAATTCACTCGCACTCGAGATTCGCTGAATAAACGTTTCCACGTATGCATTTATTAAATAACAAACCGTTACCTTCACTTCACTTCATTTTCCCCTAGGAACTATGATCGTTTTTTATCCCCTATTGATTATAATAATTTAAGTATCTTTATTTCACTGAACCAAACCGAAGTAAACCTAATCAAACCGAACTGAACCAAACCGAATCGAATCGAATCAAACTGAGCCGAGCAGAACCTAAACGAACCTTTTGATGTTTTACTTTATCAAAAAGAAGTTAAATAAGATGATAAACAAGATAATAGATGCTAATTATACGAGTCATTGAATTGACTAAGAATAATTGTGAAATAATTGTGAAATAATTGTGAAGAGAATTGACGAAGTATAAGTATCATTGATAATGATCGGTTAAGCACGAATATAAACGATCTTTCTCACCCTTTAGTGATTTTCGTTGGAGCGCAAGGACTAACTGATCCTTTGGAATGAACCTTCCTTTTAACGAAAATTTTCTTCGCGGTAGAACGGTCAACATCA